AGCCTGCAGCCCAAGTTGGGGCTCTGCAGGAAGGTGGTGGGGGGTGCCCCCCAAAGTTCCTGGGCACTGGAGCCTCCGGCCAGTTCCAAACCATAAGAACCACGAGTAAGAAAAACAAAAGCACCTGGTTCTTCCCCGGGGGGAGCGCGGCACCTGCCAGCCCCTACCACTTGAGGAAGTCCCGCACGTAACTCCATAGCTTGGTGATCCAGAGGTTGGCCCCCAGGTCAGTCAGGTACTGGATTTCGGGCGTCAGCATCTTGCGGCACAGCTTCTGGTGCTTCTTGTTGATCTTCTTCTTCAAGTTGTACCCCAGGATGGTCTTCTCCCCCAGGGGCTGCCAGGGCTGCATGGAGGACTCCTGGATGGCGCTGGCGTCCACGGCGTGACCCCCGTCGATGCAGATGCTCTTCATCTTCTCATTCTCCCTCTGCAACTCGGCCACGTCCTTGGCCATCCTCTCCCTCCCGTAGGCCTCCACCTTACGCCAGAAGGTGGCATTGAAGTAGCGGTAGAGCTTGGCGTCGATGAGGTTCCAGGCTGTCGCCTGCTCGTAGAGCTCGGGGGTCAGCCGTGACACGGTGGAGCCCTTGCGGGCGTTGAGCTTGAAGTAGAGGACATCCTCCAGCTGCCAGCACAGCAGGTCCTTCAGCAGCACCAGCGACTCGTCAAAGTACTCGAGCAACATGACGAGGTGGAAGCGGCGGTCGATCTCGCGGATGTGCTCCTCCACCAGCGGGCTGCCCGCGTCCATCGTGTTGTCGTAGCCGAAGTCGAAGAAGAGGAGGTTTTGGAGGTAGTGAGCGTTGAACCCGTTGGGGTCGTAATAGTGCTGGGGGTCCCGCAGGAACTCGGCCAGCTTATCCTCCCCCGTTATCTTCCAGGTGAGGGGGATGACAGGCCCAAAGTAGTGGAAGGAGGACTCAAAGAGGTGGGCGGGGTCCCGCAGCACCGTCACGAAGGTGGCGTCGGGCGGCAGCAGCTCGCGCACCTCCTCGTAGTGGAAGCGCATGTGGTTGCAGATGATGTTGAAGCACCGGCCGGGCTGGTAGTGCTGCACTTGGCTGCGCTCGAAGAACGACGGGTAGTAGAAGTCGTTGCGGCCGTTGGGGAAGGCGAATTTCAGGTGATGCTTTTCCCCGAAGCGGAAGAGGATGTTGAGGATGGTGCTGCTGGCGGTCTTGTGGGTCTTCATGAACATGACGTTGAGCTTGGGCCGGCAGCTCCATCCTGAGGGGCTCCCCGTGCCGTTGGACACCTCCAGAGCCCTGGCGGGAGACGGGCGGGAGGAGCAGGAGGAGGGGACGGGGATCCTGTGGGGACAAGAGACAGGACTGTGGTGAGGTGAGGGCAGCTCAGCCAGCGCAGCCCCACCACTATGAAGGGCCTGGCATATTCTGTCCTGGAGGAGCTGGGCCTGGGGATGGGTGCTGGAAATAGGAATGTGTGCTGGACCTGAGAACAGCTGCTGGAGATGGGTGCTCACCCCAGCACCTCCAGGCTCCCCACTGGAGACAAGCCCAGCTTCGGGCAGAGCCCCTTCACCCCCAGCCACGTGCCCAGTGGGATCAGGGCACCCACCCGACAGGAAAGGGGGCAAAAGGGGAGGAAAGAAGGGGGGAAAGAAGAAGCGGAGGGAGGAAAGGCAGGGATAGAAATGCCTGACATCAGATGCATCTCTGAGCCACCAAACCACCCTCATCCACTCCCGGACAACTCGAGCCACTGAGGATGTGTTGTTGTGGTCAGCCCTCACCAGCACCAGAGCACTCTGAGTAGGAGGTCCACACACTCCCCACGGGCATGGCCGTGGTGGTCCTGGTGCCAAGAAGTGCATCAAGGGGAGCTTTCCATGTCTGTGACTCCATGGAGAGGAGCTGATAACATTCTTATGGGGTCTGAGAGCTTCCAAGTCCTTATGGGATCCATGGAGGAGGTTGGGAACTCTCAAGGAAGAGGTCTGGGAGCTCTCAAGCCCTTGTAGGAGTCATGAACCCCTTGTGGGATCCATGGAGGACCCAGCCCCCAGCAAAGAGGGAAACAATTCCAGGACCTGGTCCCACAGATGAGTTCACAGGCCCTGGGGAAGCATGGGAGGACATGAGGGGTGTTATCTGAGCTGCCCAGGACAAAGAACAGAGACCACAGTCTCGAGTGACTTTGGATGCCCTTAATGAACTCCTCAAGATGATCTTGATAACAATCCCATGCGACAGCACGACGGCACCGGTCGGCACAAGGGTTATGAGGCACGTGGATCTTGTTTATGATCTTGAGATAAATTTGATGACAGAAGTCATGGGAGCTGAGCCCTGCAGAGCTTCAGCAGTGAAAGAACCTAAGACTCGACTCCTATTTCCTCTCCTCTGCTCTGCTCTGCTCTGCTCTCCCCCCCATCCTTCATCATCATCATCATGCCCACCCTCTCCCTTCTCTCCCCTCTTCCCTCTTCCTCTCTCTTTTCACCCAGGAGCAGTGAGTGCCCCCAAGATGAGCATCCCCAGCCCCCTGCAGAGTTAGGATCCACCTTCCCTCTTGTCCACCCTTGGGACAGGGCACAGCCTCCAGAGGGAAGGGGACATCTTGGTGGAAGCCACCAGAGCCCAGAAAACCCAAGGACTGTCTCCAGCTGGGTGTTCCCGAGCTGTGGGGGGACGTGCAGGGGCCCCAGACTCACTCAGTCACGCTGACTTGCAGCGGGGGGCCAGCGTAGGAGTAGAGCAGCAACATGAAGCTGGTCAGAAGGGTCCCCAGGACCAGCCCCTTGCACATGGACCTCCAGGGCTTCCCATGGCACAGCATCCTGGTCACCTGCAGCAACAAAGAAGCAACATTGGTGACTGGGGAGGGTGTGAAGAGACACTCGTGCATCTCATGAGTGTGACAATTCCCAGAAACCACTGGCTCCAGGTGTGTCCCAGCCACTGGCACAGCAGATCCATGGCCCAGGCCCAGCAGCTCTGCCTGCCCAGCTGACCTTTGCCTGCCTTGGAAAAACCCTGGGTGACTCCCAGGCCCGATGCTGGAGCAGTGGGAGAGGCTGCAGGGAAGGGACTGGGAGAAGGGGGAGCTGGGCCACGGGCAGCCCAATGGCAGAGTGAGGATCCTTGGCCAGGAGATCACCAGCACTGACAGGAGCTTCCCAAGGGCGCTGGGATCCATTCTCCCAGGAAAATATCCAGGCTGGAGCAGGACCATGGACACACTGGGACACACACACCAGAACACACACACACACAAGCACGTTCACATGTATGTGCACACAGGGGCACATGTTCACACACATACACACAGATGCACTTATGAGTCCCTCCCAAGGGCACAGATATGCTCACACATGCACACACAGGGGCACACACACCTGTGCATGTCCATGCGTGTGCAGGCACACGCAGGTGCACACACAGACACACGGATGCACTCATGAATCTCCTGCAAGGGCACAGACAAGGTCACACATACACACACAGGGGCACACAGGGGGCACACAGGGGGCACACGGCTGGGCATGTTAATGCATGTGCAGGCACATACACACACAAGGGCACACACCTGTGCACCCATGCATCATGCATCCAGATACACACACAGACACACAAGAGCCTGTGAATCCCCCCCCAGGACGCAGACACACTCACACACACATGTGCACACTGCTGCACACACAGGGACACACGTGCACCACAGCACTCACGTGTGCTCACATGTGCACGAGGACACGCACACCCCCCCAATGCATGTTCATACACACACACATGTTCACATGCATCAGTGCTTCTCAGACACCCCCCAGTGCATGTTCGTACACACACACAGCCCCCACCACAGGCCACCCCTCCCCAGCACTCCCCCCGTCCCTCTCCCTCCGCCGCCGCAGGCTGGACACGGAGGGTCACGGTCAGCTGTGACACCGCATTGCAGCAGAGCCGTCCCCTGCGGCAGGACACGGGGACACGGGGACACGAGGACACGCCCCGCTGTGGGGGGCTGTGGGCTGAGCCCCCCGCCTGGGAGCACCCCGAGCTGGGGCCAGAGCCCCCCGGGCCCCGCAGCCCCCATCAGCGGCGGGAGCAGCATCTCCGGACCGAGCTCCCCCTGCTCCCGCCGCTCCCGCGGCTCCGCATCGCTCCCAAACCCTTCGGCCAACGCTGCCGCGCTCCCACCGAATAACACCCCCGAAACAACTCACCGACCCTCCCCCTCCCCGCCACACATCACCCCCTCAGCACCTCAGACCTCCACCGGGGCGAAATCCCACTGGGAAGAGCCGCGGATCACACCGCGACACATTCCACCCCCCGAGCCTCCCGCGGTGAAGCCCCCCCGGACTCCCCAGAGTTACCCGAAGCCCGGCGATCCCGGGGTGCCGCTGCTCCCGCCGCTCCCCTGCCCGGCCCCCCCGGGTCGGATCGCCTCGTGCTGCCGAGATTTCCAGCTCAATGAATAATGAATGGAAAATGCAACCGGAGCCCCGGGCTGCGGCCGGCACTGGGCACAGCGCCGCGGAAGGGGGAGAGCCGGGAGGAGGGCACGGGGGGCACCCCAAAAGCTCATCCACAGCCTCCCCCCAACCTTGCCCTGAAGCAGGGACCGCTGGATCAGGCAGGGCTGGTGTATCCAGCCTCTTCCCGCGTGGTTTTCCAGGGAATTTGTGGTGTCACTGCTGGGGGAGCAGATGGCTCTGGCCGAACCCCAAGATCACCGCGTGGGTGTCAGTGCCGGAGGGCTCCACGTGCCTGGGAGCAGCTGGAGTTTGGTTCTACACCGTGGCTGTGATCCCACCACGGTCACCACCCAGTACCACCTGGAAAAGCCACTGGAGAGAGCCGGGGAGGACACCCAGTTTTGTGGGTGCTGCCGGATGGGAGTTCAGAGCTGCACCCCGAGGATCACCAGCACTGGCACCGATCCCATGGAAGTGAGTGAGACTGCACCATGAACCCCCGATGGGTTCCAATGGATCCCAATCAGTCCAGATGGGTTCCAATGGATCCTGATAGATCCCATTGGGATCCTGCCAGCCCCCCAGGCCCACACAGCACCCCATCCCAGTGCTCTGGAATGCCAGGGGGATGCCTCCCTCCACCCTTCCTGGTTCCCAGGGGTGGTTCTGGCAAACACTTTTCAGCCCAGCCTCTCTATTTACTTTGCCTTCAATGAGCAGTTTAATTATTAATAAGCTGCTGAGGCAATGAACTCTTTCAGGGGAACATGGTGCACCAGGCATATTCCTGGGGCTCCCGTGGGTGCAGGGAGGCTGCGGCACCAGCGGCTGAAATTCCCAGCCGGAGGACACAGATGCACCGACCATCTCCTCACCGGTGACCCCCAGGCCAGGCCAGGCCAGGCCCCACAGCTCTGCATCCCAATCTCAATGTCCCAGCACCTTCCCAGCTCCCCGGGGGCATCTCAGAGCTTGCTTTGGGGTTTTCCCTACTGGATCCACTCTTTTTAGGGCCAAACCCCTATAATCTGCCGTACACAAGGCATATCCACCTGCTGTTTGCTCCTCCTGATCCCACAAATTCATGTACACTCTGTTTTCGGCAGGCCCTGTTCCACACAGGCACGGTGCTTCCTACCCCCCTGTTCCCCTTGCACACTCTCATGGGTGCAAACATCCAGCCCCACACCCCCATCTCTGCCCCATACAGCTGCTTCCTAAGCATCTCAAGCCCCCCACCCCAGCATCCCAAAACCCTCCAAACATCCCAGCACCCTGTCAAGCATCCCTCTGCCCCCAAGCAACCCAACAATATCCCAAGGATCCTGCTGTCCCCTCCACCATCCTACCACCCTTCAAGCACCCCTCAAGCTCCCAAGCATCCCCCTGTGCCTTCAGCACGCATCACCTTTTCCTCTGCCTGCGCCGCTGGCGCTGGGCTGTCCCTGTCCTGTCCTGGGCTGGCCGGGGTGCCGGGGGAGCGGGCGGCACGGGGCGGGGGTGCCGATGCTGCTCCGACATGGAATAAGCTCTTCCAGGGCAGCTCCCCGCAAACGCCGGCTTTTCCAAAGCCTCCCCACTCCACCGCGGTGCTTATGGCATCGCCTGGATCCCGGCCTTGGCTCGCCGGCCTGGGAAGGGGGAGAGGGAACGGAGAGGGAGAGGCTGGCGGAGGGACCGGGGGGTTCGGCCGGGCACTGCCCGGCTCCCCGGGGCCGGCCCTGGGTGCCCGCGGCCACCCCGAGCTGCCCGGCTCCCCACCCACTGCCGGGGCACAGAGGAGCCATTCAGCCCGCGCCGGGAACAACGGCGACGTTTGTCTCCATCTGCGCCCGCGGCCTCAACGGGGTCATTGTCCCCACGGGTCCCCGCGCCGGCCCCTCGGCTCGGCGCCACCGCCGGCCCCCGGCCCGGCTTGGCCCCACGCGCCGGGTGACGATGGCCGTCCCCGGGCCGTGGCACCCACCTGTCGCCACCGGCCCCCTCCTCATCCCGCGGGGCAGCTCGTGGCCTGGCTGTCACCTCCTGCAGCCCGAGCTCACCCAGCCACCTGCTCCCCGGCGCGCCCTGGCCACGCACTGTCTGCTCCTCTTCATCCTCCCACGGCCCTCCCTCCCTCCCTCCGGCTGTATCTCCATGGTTTTATGGCCCTGATGGCGGCAATATTCCTGTGTCCCTGAGCTCAGCCCAGCGACTGCAGAGGCACCGCGGTGTCACCAGCCTTTCCACCTTCCCCTGGTCACGGTGGCTGAGTGGGTGCCCAGGGGCTGGGTGAGTGTCTGGGGGGGTCAGCAACTGCAACAGGAGGGCTCAGCCCCATCTCTGCTCCACCACCCCCCACGTGCATGGGTGGAAAAGCTGCCCTTGTTCTTCTGCATCCGGCCTTTGGTCTTCCTGCTGCCCTCAGACTGGAGTCTCTGCCACCAGAGGGGGTGAGATGGCCTTAGGTCCCCAAGTGAGGGGTGACCACACTGGCATCCAGCACCCCAGGGCACCCCTCGGCCATGTCTGGACCCGCCATCCTGTCAGAGGGGTTTGGAGTTCAGGGCTCCTCCACACAGGAGCTGGGGGGGTCACCCTGCAGTGAATTGGCAGCTCTTGCCCCACCTTGCCCAGCATTGGCAGGACCAGTTCCCACCCCAGGGATAACCTGCGCAATCCCCCAGGAACGGGAAAATCCAGAATAGTTTTGTCATCATCGTTGTATCATCATCACCGTCACCATCATCGTCATCACCGTCATTGCAAGAGAAGGGATGGAGACAAGCGAGCTCAGTCAATGCTGGGCTGTGCCTGCCCACGCCGGGGGAGGCAGAGGCTGGTGCCAGGACAGGATCAGGATTCACCCTGGAACCAGTTGTGAGGGGGAAAGGAGCCGTCCCACCCCGTCTCTGCAGGCCACCTCTGTTAATTCCAGGTTTCCCTCTCTTTTTTGAAACGAGGTGCAAAGAGATCCCATTTTCGGGGATGGGTTTCCAGGTTTCCCCTTGTTTATGGGGGACTGGTTATGAAGGATTTCCAGTTGCCCCCCTTTTTTGGAGATGGGTCATGAAGGGTTTCCAGGTTCTCCCTTTTTTGGGGGATGGGCTGTGAAGGGCTTCCAGATTTCCCCTGTTTTGGGGGATGGTTGGGAAAGGTTTCCAGCCAGAGGAGAACAGCAGTGGTTGGGACGTGGCAGCCCAACAACAGGATGCTGGAGGCCTCAGGACAGATGTGACCGAGCTGGGGAGCCACAACACCCCATCTACCACATGCATGGGGTGTAACCCTCTCCCATATCCCATGGGGTGTAACCATCCCCATGAGGGCTCTACCGCCACATCCCCCACCCCGTCCCCTGTCCCCCCAACCCGGGTTTTGGGGTACAAAGCAGGTACTCACACTGTGATCACCGGAGCTGTGGATCCCGAGGGATGGATGGGGTGAGGAGCCCAAGGAGAAGGCGGCACCGCTGTGGTGTCACGCCCTGGCCAGGCCCCGGCAGACACTGCTGGCAGAGTGTGGTGTCAGTGCCTTTATCACCAGAGAGGCCTGTCACGACTGGAGTGGCCCGACTGGTTCGTGGCCACCCGGCCAGGGCCAGCACCAGCCCTGCCCCGAGCCCTGGGCCTGGAACCGGTGCTGGGAATGAGGGCCTGGAACAGGGAGCCAGGGCCGGGAGGGACAGCCTGGAATGGGTGTTTGGGATCGAGGGCCTGGGCCGCTGTTGGGGACCGAGGGCCTGGAGAGGGGTCTGGGTGTCTGGGGGGCTCCCGGGCTTGGGGGAGCCTGAGGGGGAGCCCTGGCCCTGGGGGCACTCCAGGGCTCGATCCTCCTCCGAGGAGAGGGGAAAAATAGAAAAAAAGGGAAAATCCTTCCAACTCCCTGAAGTGAAAAAAAAAAAAAAAAAAAAAAAAAAAAAAAAAAAAAAAAAAAAAAAAAAAAAAAAAAAAAAAAAAAAAAAAAAAAAAAGTAAAAGGAGAGAAAGAAAAAGTGAAAAAAAGAGGGAGGAGGAAATGGGGGGAAAGGGGAAAAAATAAAAGAATAAAAAGGAAAAAATTAAAAAAGGGGGAAAGGGGAAAAATAGGAAAGCCAAGGAGAACTAAGGAAAATGAAAAGGAAAAAAAACGGGAGAAAAGGTAAAAAGGTGAGAAAAAAGGTAAAAAAGGGAAGAAAAATGGGTAACAACAAAGAGGAAAA